AAGACATGAACAAGGAAGTGTGCCATACCTGAGGTGCTCTTCCAATCCACTAGGAAACCTGCATAATCAGCGTCAGCATATCCCACTAGATTAAAATTACTACCTTTTGGATACCAAAGGCAAAGGTCAGTGGTGCCTTTTAAGTATCTCAATATTCTCTTTACATTAGTCAAGTGGGACTCCTTTGAATTTGCCTGAAATCGAGGACAAAGACCTACATTGCACACAATGTCAGGTCTGCTAGTAGTGAGATATAAAAGAGAACCAATCATTCCCCTATACAACTTCTAATCAACAAATGAACCGGATTCATCTATATCCAATTTCGTGGATGTTGCAATAGGAGTGTCAATTTCTTTGGATGTTCCTTCCTGGTTTTGTTACTGAGGAATAGGTTCATGGACAGGTTCCCTCGAGGTTAGAGGATCAGTTCCTCTCTAGTCAGTTCCCTTTGTCATGTTGCCCTGGGTAGAAGAACCTGTTCCATCACATGTTCCTTCTTCTGTTGCAGCTTCAGTTTGGGCTGCGATATCATTTAAATTTCTACCAGACCAATTGCTTCATCTTCATGTTCCAGCTTCTCAGAAAGAATGTTAGTTTTAAATAACATATACATTTTTCTACACACATAGTTCTTTTACTGTATATCTTATAAGCTTTACTATGTGAAGAATATCCCAAGAATACTCCCTCATCACTTCTGGAATCATACTTACCTAGGGAGTCTTTGCCATTATTGTGCACAAAGCACTTGCATATAAATGTCCTAAGATGAGATATATTTAGCTTTCTCCCTTTAAGTGACTCATAGGGAATCTTCTTAACAAGAGGTCTAGTCATGCAGCTATTTATGATGTAGCATGCAAAAATTCAACAAACATAGCATTTTCAAATTTAGTTCCATGATCAGACCTAATTGATGCAATGATTACCTAGTTGTTTCTGAGTTTTTCTAACAAAAGAAGTAAACATGTCAAATGCTTCATCTTTAGATGTTAAAACCAATGTCCAAGTAAACCTAGAGTAATCATCAACAAGCACCATCACATATCTTTTACCACCTCTGCTTAATGTTCTCATTGGACCACAGAGATCCAAATGGACCAGTTCCATCGTTCTGGTGGTGCTTACCACTTTCTTGCATTTAAAAGAGGATCTTACCTGCTTCCCCCTTGCACAAGCCTCACAAACTTTGTCTTCCTTGAACTTGATGTTAGGCAGCCCTATCACCAGATCCTTGGAGACTAATTTGTTGAGTTGACTCAGACTTGCATGTCCAAGTCTCTTGTGCCAAAGGAGGGGATCATTGTCCAACACACTTAAGCAAGTGAGTTCATTTTCTGAAAGTGTGGACAAATCTACAATGTATGTATTGTTTACTCTTTTTCCCTGCAAAACAATCTTGTCAGTGGTAAGATTAATCACAAAACATTTGGTAGAGGTGATTACTACCAAGTTACCTCTATCACATAATTGTGATACACTGATTAGACTGTACTTTAGGCCATCTATCAAGTAGATATTCTCAATAGAGTGAGAATCAGTCTTACCTACCTTTCCAACCCCAATGATCTCACCTTTCTTCCCATTTATAAAGGAGACATTACCTCATTTGAGGTCCTCAAGTGAAAGGAACTGGTTCTTGCTTCCTCTCATATGCTTTGAGCAGCCACTATCCATGTACCATATTTGGCTGCTCCCCTTCACTTGGACCCACAAAAGGAAATCAGGGGTTAGTCTTAGGAACCCAAACTAGTTTGGGTCCCTTTCTATAGGCAAAAGGGTGAATCAGATTCTTTTTAGCCCAACCTGGCAGCCTATTTTTCCCTTGAACAAATTCTTTATTCTTTTGACTAGCCTTTTCTTTTGCAATACATTCAGATTTATAGTGACCAGTTTTACCACAGTGTGTGCAAATTATGTTCTCAGGAAGTGTGAGGTACTTGCTTTTGGGATCCCACTTAGGTGCAGGGGTCCCGTAGCCAAGTCCTCTCTTATTGCTACTATGGTGTTCGTGTAGCCATGAAAGTGCATCAGAGGACCTATTCCATTTACAGGTTCTGTCTAGCTCGTGCTTAACCTTGTTTAGATCCTCCTTAAGGACTCTTATCTGCTCATCTCTTTTGTACAACTCATCTTTCATTTTTCCTACATTTTCTTCTAAAGTGAGTTGTGTGTGATCAGCTTTCTTTTTACCAGTTCCTAATTTCAATTTTAGATTTTCAGATCTGAGCTCTAGGACAGTGGTGTCAAGTTCATGAACCTGGTTCTTCAACTCAGCATTTTTACTATCACTTTCACTAGCCCTAAGTTCCAGGTTTTTGCACTTAGCTTTCAGAATCACACACTCCTTAGACAGCTGTTCATTTTCATTGTTTAGATCCTCAGATTCATCAATGAAATCCAGGAGTAACTTAGATAGCCTTTCTTTAGACAAAAATTTAATCTTGTCTTTGAGATGAATTATACTTACCTCAGATTCCTCATCAGATTTTCCAATTGCCATAAGTACTTGTTCATCTCCATCTTCATCCTCTGAGTCCTCATCTGAGCTTTCTCCCCAGGCAGCAACCATAGCCTTTGTTGATCCTTTGTTCTTATTGGGTTGAACCTGTTCCTTCTTCCTGTTCCTTCGTTCAGCTCTTTCCTTCTTCCATTCAATTTCCCATTGAGGGCAATTTTTGATGTGGTGATCAGTCTTCCCACACTTGTAACACCCCTCATTGGTTTGTTTTTTAGGAACCCTTGGTTTGTAGTAGCTTCCACTTCTTGAAAGACCATTTCCTCTCATTAGGTACTTCTTGAAATCCTTTGTGATCATGGTCATTTAATCCTCCTCTAGATCAGCACCTTCAGTGATTATGAATGCCATGCTCTTTTCCTTCTTGGGTGCATCCATCTTCATGGTTTGCCTTCTAAGTTCATAGGCAGTGAGATTTCCAATTAGCTCATCCAACTTAAGAGTGGCAATGTTCTTTGATTCCTGAATAGCTGTGATTTTGCTTTCCCAAGAGATTGGCAGTACCCTTGTCAAAATCTTCTCAACCTTGTCTTCTTCAAGAATAACCCTTCCAAGAGACTTAAGTTCATTTGTCAGTGTAGTGAACCTAGTATACATCTCCTCGATAGTTTCTCCTTCCTTCATAGTAAAATTCTCATATTGAGAATACAGCAGTGTTCCTCTTGATCTTTTCACTTGAGGTATTCCTTCATGGGCCACTTGCAAGGTGTCCCATATCTCCTTAGCAGTAGTACAGCTTTGAATTCTACTGTACTCGTCTGGACCAAGTCCACACACAAGCCATTTCTTGGCCTTTGCATTCTTTTCCCACTTTCTCAAGTCCTCAGCATTGTAGTCAGCTCTTGTTTTTGGCACATCCACTCCTTCCTCATTCTTCTTTGTAGTTTCTAAAGGACCATCAGTGACTATGTCCCAGAGTTCATAGTCCTCTCCTATGATATGATCTCTCATCCTGTTTTTCCACCAAGAGTAGTAGTGGCCATTAAAGAGTGGAGGCCTATCAGTGGATTGCCCTTCCCAGTTTCCAGGTGGTGCGCTCATTTTGATCTGTTCCTAAGGTGTTAGCCTCTTCAAGGATAACCTGCTCTAATACCAATTGATGTTCTAAACGTGAATACCACACAAGAGGGGGGGTGATTTGTGTGGTACCCAATTTTTTGCTTAAACTGCTTCTGGAAGGACCTGGTTCTTCTATGTGTTCCAACTACTACTGTTGCGGAATAATAAATACAGAAAATAAAGAACACAGAGATTTTACGTGGAAAACACCTGGCTCAAAAGGTGAAAAAACCACGACCTACTACTCAGTAGGATTTTCCCCAACACTTCACTAAATCACTGAGCCAAAACAGCATTTACAAAACTCTTTGTAAACCTAAGGATTACCTCTAATCTCGTTGTAGCAACCAGCCTCTAACTGCTGCGACAACTTCAAGTTAACTCTGACTTGAATACTCAAAATACCTATTACAATTGCTTCTAGATAAAGCTGAAAGGTACAATATGAAACACCTACTACAATTGAACTAGAAATAAAGAAAGACACATAAAACTCTTTATGGAGTTGGTTCTTCAATCTGGTTCATGTAGCTTCAGGTTTGCACACTTGAATCACACACGAACTGCTTGCAAAAAGCCTTGCTATTTTGCTCTCAATTCACGTTTAACTTCTGCGTTTTTGTGCAACACTTTAATGTGAGAACATCCTGCAATTTATAGAGTTAGTAGATGAAGAAATAACTAGAGTTCTGATGCAACTCTTCCTTGGTGGAAGAGTTCTATTTGATTTCAACTTCTAACTCCTTCCCTATCTTGGATAGTGTTCTCTTTGATTAAGGACTCCTTCTCCTTATCAATTATGCAACCTTTTCGATCAGGAGATATTAAATACACCAAGTTAAGCTTATCTCCTTCACGTGCAACCACATGCTCGAATCTGTCCGTTTCTGTGCACCTGAGTGATGGACCTGGTTCATCCTGAGTTCCTTTGTCAGTCTTCAAAACTAACCTTTACTTGGGCCAACAACTACTTCCTTCGTTTCAAAAAGAATGAATCTATTACTATTTTGGGAGTCAAGCAAAGTTTTCTTAGGTTTTAAATATTTTAAATTGGACCGTGTTTTTTTTTAAATAGGTTTTAGATATTTTAAATTGTTAACTATTGTGGCTTATAGTATTTTTTATCTATTTCAGAAAACTTAAAGAATTTATGCCCGAATTCACACTGAGAATAGTCAATTTGACCCTCGTAGTCCGAAAAGGTTCAAACAAATTGAAACAGAGGAAGTATAAATTTATTTAAGACCCCAGTTCAAAGTTCTATTATGAGGCACATAAAATTCTCATGAAAATTTGTAGAATGCAGATCAATTGGCTTAAGGACCCAGAAAAATAACTGCTAGCATGCACAGTGAGGATAAACCTTCTAACATGATGTTACTGATTGAAAAGAAATAGAAGAAAACTTTTTAACCTGAAGTTTTTCTCTCTGCTTAGTAGGAATCAGTTGTTGCATAAGAGATTGCCTGGAGAGGGTGTCAGAGATTCCATCTGGCAGCATGCCATCAACAGTCTTGCAGGTTTTTCTACTGTTAGACAGAATATTGTGGCTGATGGTATAGAGAAATTTTCCAGATATTTATGAAGTACCTATGTGATATTTCATTAATAAGTAGTAATGTTAGATGTTGATGCTATTGGAATCTTTTTGTCTTATCTCTTGACAGCAGGAAAATTGACAGGTCGAGTGTTTGCTCCCTACTCAGTAGTTAAAGGCAAGGCGGCACTTTCTGCTGAACCTAGACTGCCCACATTTAGCAGACTGGATGTATGATATTTGTTACCTTTTTTAAAAATAGAATTGTCATGTTCAAGTGATGCTTTCTCTCATCCTTTCTTCTTCTTATAGTCTGGAGGTGTTAAACTCAATCGCCGCGGTGTCATTATGTTGACATTCTGGCCATCTGTTGGTGAGCGCAAATATGACTGGGAAAAGGGGCAGGTAATGAATGTGCTTATATAGCTTGCAAATATGAGCAACTTATTTCCTTTTCATCCTCAGTAGTTCCTTCCAATCAACAGTCTCTCATTCTCTCGAATGCAGTGAGTCAAACAAGCATAATTTGAGCTTACACATATTAACGGACATTAGATATAGCAGGATCTTATTTTCTGCTTTTAGGTGTCTTCTTTCAGCTTTTAATGCTATTCTAAGCTGCAAAATTTCTTTCTTCTTTGCTGGTTATTAGCAGGACATTGGGTAGATTGGTCTTGTATGTACCACTAACTTATCAGTTTATAGTAAGCTTGCTTGTAATTTCTCGTTAGTGTTGCATTGCTGCTTGATCTTCCTTAGAGATATTAGTCATCTATAAATCCGTCATTTTTTCTTTTCTCAAATATCCATCTGTATGCTACTTATAAATAGATACCCATCTGTATGTTTGCTGCATCACTCTCTCTTTCTCTTTTCTCTACTTGTACGTGTTCACATATCTGAACTCTGACTTGACTGACAGATAATTCAACATATTGCAGTTGTTTGCTTTATCAGCAACAGAGGTTGGATCATTGATAAGTATCGGGACTAGAGATTCTTGTGAATTCTTCCATGATCCTTCAATGCTATCAAGGTTGATTGGCTGCTTCAGTTCTTGGCTTAGGGTTATCTTGAGTAGATATATCATATATATACACATATACATTAATTACACACTTTTAGACGGGATCCTTGCGTCCTACCCATTAGTAGTTTCCCTTAATTTCCTATCTCTTACTGTATATCTAAGCAAAAGTTAAATGTTACAGCAATGCTGGTCAAGTAAGAAAGAGCTTGTCATTTAAGCCAAATGCTGATGGCAGTGGTTATTTCGTTTCATTGAGTAAGTCTCAATCTATATGTGCGCCTGTGCACCTTTTCTATTAAATTTTTCTTTCAACCCATTAGATGCTTTCAAAATGTCACCATCTGTTCTGTAATGGGTAGCTATCTATGTTAAGGATCCATGGTATCCTTAAAGTAACTGTTTTAGCTACATGTTTAAGAAATGATATACATATGCTACATCATTTTTCCTGTATGGCGTCTTGGTGCGTTACTTTCATAACTTGGCCGGCCAGCACATGTTATTAGTGCTCATAAGTAATGCAACATTTCGATTTTTTCCGTTATGCAGGTGTCGTCAACAATAATATCAAAACCAATGATCGGCTTACTGTTCCTGTTACTATTGCTGAGTTTGCTGTTATGCGAACAGCTTTCAGTGTACGTTTTACTAAGATACTTTTTTTGTAAAAGAAAATATGCTCCATTTGATTATTTTTCCTAAGCACACTGCTTCCTGTTACTTTGAGATGCTTCTGTTTCCTTTTATTGTCCTAGCTCTGAGTTCGTTAGTGAAATATATATGATGGTGGATGAACATTTTATATCAGATAAATGGAGCCGTGAGAGAAAACGTTTTTATTCAATACACTAAAATGAAAAAGCATACAATCTTTTGATGGGCAATAAATGAACTCATATGATGCTCATTGGAGTGAATGCCTTTATTTTGAGAATTTTTTAGAAAGTTTTGAAAATTAAGTTTTCCAAACAAAAACAGTTCTGGGATATTAAATGGATTGTGTCTATTTTTAGCCTCCTTTCTAAATGATTCTAATCTGTTTACTTTGACTGCTTACAATATGTGTACTTGCAGTCACATTGTTATACAAAGTAATCACCACTTAGAGCCCGTTTGGTTTGGCTTATTTTAAGTGCTTTTAAGCCAAAATAACTTTTAAGCCATTTTGTAGTGTTTGGATAGAGTAAAAAAGTGCTTTTAAGCACTTGTTTTTAAGCTAAAATGACAAAACCCAAACTAGAATTCCTAACTTATGGCTTAAAAACTATTTTGGCCTAAAAGTCACTTAAAATAAGCCCATCCAAACGGACTCTTACCAAGTAAAATGTCCTTTTCTGATGCGTGCCTTCCACAAATGTCTCTCTAATGGTTTGCAGCTTCATTTAACTTTTTGGCTGTGGTTCTTTTTTGAGATGGAACTTTTTTGGCAGTGGTTCTCATTGTCCATTTATGATTTTGGTCTTTTAAATGTAGTTTGCGCTGCCTCATATCGTGGGATGGGATCGCTTCACTAATCAGTCTTCAGAAAGCGTCTCTCAAAGTCCCTCAAAGGTGGTTCCACAACTTATGGAGGCAGAGTGGGATAGATGAGAGACTATATGTTTATTGTGTAGTGCTAGTCTCATTCTCCTATGAACTAGGTTCTCTTTTTAGATTCTACCGAAGAAGAAAATGTATGTGTATTAGCTAACTTTTCAGAGTTGAAACTTTGGAGAATATATCCTGTGTAGAGTAGGGCAGATAATTAGTCTGTTAAAATGGAATTGAAATTTCCATACCAGCTTGTGACACAGCCACTGTCTAAGTTAGCTCGAAATGCATTGGTCTGAATAAATGATGTGTCTAACATAGAGGTGTTAATTGGGCTGGGCTGGGCTGGGCCGGGCCACTAACAGCCCGGTTCAGACTGGATCGGCTTGGTCCGATAAGGAGTGGGACGGGTTGCCAGGGTACGGGGGTTGTGTCGGACGGGGTCGGGTAGAGCTGTTTATTTGGATCGAATATTTGAAATCCAAACTGATCCGCTCAATTTCGGATTTCGGATATTTGGATCAGATTTCGGATTGTGTTTATTAAAATTTTGGATTGGTATAATTGTAACCCGATCCGATCCGAAATCCAAAATTATTAGGGCTTATGTAAATATTAAACTTTAATTTCGGATAGTCAGTACTTCCTTTACATCTTCCTCCAAGTTATTACCTTTACAATTAGTGGATTTAGCTATATTGGCACCATAGTACTCTCATAATTGCTGAATCGTGAATTTTTCTTACTGTATTGACTCTTTTACAAAGAAAATATACAGACGAGTTTGCAACTTTGAGGCATAACAATCCGATTTGAAATCCGAAAATTCAATCTGATCCAAACTTTGAAACCTGATCTGATATTAATTTGGGTCGGATTCAGAGTGCATTTTATAGAATCCGAAATCTGAATCTGAAATGTGCTAAATCTGATTTGATCCATGCATAGCCCTAGGGTTGGGTCTTTTTGGGCTACCGGTGCACCGAAACTCGGCTAGTTAGTAACCCGCTCACGGGTTTTTACTGGGTTCTAGCCCGGTTACCGTTGGTTTTTTGCCAACGGTCAAATTCAAAAATAAATTGTCGGACAACGGCCATTTTTTGTAGTTTTAGCCACTCCGGCCTACCCCTTACTAAAATAGCCCACACCCGTAATAATCAAAAATTATATTTTAGCCTTTTAATAACTATAAATAGCCCTTCTCCTCTTCTTCATTTTTTCTCACAACTTGCTCTCTTCTTCTACTCAATTCTTTTTTTATTATTGAATTGCTTATTGCTCTCAAATTCTCAATTAATTATTATTCCAAGTTTTATCAATTATTTACGGTAGCCTCTACAAATTACAATTATCAAGTGAAGTGTGGTATCATCAAACATCAATGAAGTGTGATATCCGGACTCCCGATACACTCGTTCCATCTCTTTCTCTTCTTTGGTGTTTATTTTTATTTTATAATTTAGAATTATTAATTTAGTTTTTTTTAAAAATTTACTTTACATAATGGATATATTTAGAGCAACCAAAAAAATGTGTGCTAGTAAGGGTGGTACTAGTAAGAGTAAAAATACTAAAAGTTCAAGAGGTGGTGTTGGTTCTTCTAGTAACTGCTTTACACATATTTCTGAAAGTTCACCTCAAAATTTAAATATAGATTATGAGCAACTTAAAGAAGATTATGGTATAGATGATAATTTAGATGATATTGAGTCACCTGATAATCGTGAAACACCACCACCTACACCTGGTACTCTTATTCAAAATATTAGGGGTGGTGGTCGTGGTAATATAGGTAGGCACTCTCTCCCTATTAAGAAGAATCGAAGATTAAGAAGTAAGTGCTGGCAATTTTTTGAAAGACTAGAAGAAGATAAAAATTATGTAAGATGTATTATATGTCAGGAAGTTTATAAACATGAAACATGAGGTAAGCAAGGGGGCAGGTCAACTTCGTAGGCACGTGATAGATACCCACCCTATTGTATGGGGTGATGATGAATAATTTGGCCAGCAAAAATTTAACCCGGGTATTGGTGGTTTAATGGGTAAATACGATATATTGAAAGATCGGGAAGAATTAACTAAAATGATTGTTTTATGTTGTTTACCTTTTAGCTGTGCTGCTTCACCTTATCTTGTTACTTATATTCAAAGATTTTATAACCCTTTATTTAAAGGTATTCCTATAAGTACTTATATAGCTGATATCTTTAGGCTTTTCGGACAATGTCAAACATATATATGTAATTTGTTCATTGATCGTCTTGTAGTGTTTCTCTTACTTCTTATATTGGTCATACTGTCAATGAAAATAATTATTTGATTGTTACATGCCATTGGATAGATTATAATTTTTTTTATGCACAAACGTATTATTGCTTTTAAATATGATTAAGATCAAAGTCATACTGGTGTAATATGACTTTGATCTTAATGGATAATATTAAGATTGTAAAAGATAGCAACTTCATGGATAATATTACTTATAATGCTTCTAACAACAATGCTGTTATTTCACTATTAAAATTGTATTACACCCAGCACTTCCTAAAATATTTCATGTGAGGTGTGCATGTCATATTTATAATTTAATTGTTAAGAGTGGCCTTGAATTATTTAGAAATGCGATCATTTTAGTTAGAAGAGTTGTTGGTGTAATTCAAGGAAATAATAGAAGTGCTAGATTAAATGCATTTAAGGATAAATGTGATAACATTATGAAATAAGACCAAGACTCATACATGAAGAAATAGTTACTAGGTGAAATTATACTTATTTATTGTTAAGATGTTGTTATAAATATAGAATGCATATAACTAAAATTGCTAATTCTCATTGTACCGATCCTAAATATTGGTTAACATCTAGTACTTGGAATGTCATTGAAGATGTTATAATTTTTTTACAAAAATTTTACGTAGCTACACTTGAGTTTTCTCGAGCTTATTATCCTACTGTTGCAAATGGTTTAGTACATATAGCTGAAATTTCTCGTTTACTCCATAATTTCAAGAAGAAAGAAGAATATAATTCTGTTGTTGAATCTACGCTAGATAAATTTAAAATATATTTCTATCATATTCCCCATATTTACCTAGTTGGTGTTATTTTAAACCCTTCTATCAAAATGGCTACTTGTCGCCAATTCATCACTGCTTTATAGGCTTATATGGATATTAGATGTAACGACCAGGCCAGTCGTCTCATGAGTTACCGCTCCGTTTCCCCCATTTCTGCTTCTTATTGCTTTATTTATCGGTACTATGTGTGATCGGGTTGGTTGGCTCGGGTTCGGAGAGGTTTTGGTAAGATTTGAGACACTTATTCTCTTTTGAGGAAGCTTAAGTTGAAAAAGTCAACCGGATGTTGACTTATGTGTTAGAGGGATCGGATGTGAGTTCCAATGGTTCGGATAGCTTCGGGAGGTGATTTGGGACTTAGGAGCGTGACCGGAATGTGTTTTGGAGGTCCGAAGTAGATTTAGGCTTGAATTGGCGAAATTGGAATTTTGGCGTTTTCCGGTTGTTATGTGAGATTTTGATATAGGGGTCGGAATAGAATTTCGGGAGTTGCAGTAGTTCCGCGTTGTGTCATTTGGGATGTGTGTGCAAAATTTCAGGTCATTCGGACGTGGTTTGGTAGACTTTTTGATCAAAAGCGTAATTTAAAAGATTTTGGAATTTTTAGGCTTGAATCCGATGCGAATTTGGTATTTTGATGTTGTTTTGAGAGTTCCGAAGAATGAAAAAAGTTTGAATGGTGTTATGGGATATGTTGGCATGTTTGTTGAGGTCCCAAGGGCCTCGGTTGAGTTTCGAATGATAAATCGGACCATTTCATGTTATGAAAGATTGCAGAAAACTGATGTTGGGTGTTGTAGAGAAGTGGCCTTCGCGTTCGCGAGTAGGCCCTCGCGTTCGGGAAGGGTTAGCAGGTGAGGCTGAAGATTTGGCCTTCGCGTTCGCGAGGGAGGTCCCGAGTTCGCGAAGGGATGGGCCGTTGAGCATCGCGTTCGCGAGAAGGGGAGTCGTGTTCGCGAAGGATTGGAGTCTGGAAGCATCGCGTTCGCGAGGGGTCAGACGCGTTCGCGATGAAGGAATTTTGGTCAAAGTCAGTTTGTGCTTCGCGAACGCGAGGCGTTGACCACGTTCACGAAGAAGGTTTTTAATGCCTGGGCAGAATGTTTAAATAGCCATTGTCCGCGATTTTAGGGCTAACTTTCACCATTTTTGGGCGATTTTGGAGCTTTTTGAAGAGGAATGAAGAGGGATTAAAGGGGGAACACTTGGAGGTAAGATTTATGGACTTTATACTCGATTCTTATGTGAATCCCACCTAAATAATCATGGAAATTAAGCCTAGTATCGAAGAACTAGGGCTTGTAATTGGAGACCTAGGATTTAGAATTTGAGGGGTCGTTTGTGGTTGGATTTTGGTACTTTTGATATGTATGAACTCGTGGGGAGATAAGGAATCTATTGATGTAAATTTTATTGGAATCCGAGACGTGGGCCCGGGGGTCGGGTTTGGCTAATTTCAGGATTTATGTTGTAAATTGATTATTTTCGCATGGGCTCCGTTCCCTTAGCATATTTTGACGTCGTGATTTTGATTTTGGTTAGATTTAACACGAGTTGAGGCCGATTCGAGAGGCAAGGGCATCGCGGGCTAGAGATTTGGACCGGATAGAGGTGAGTAATGATTTTAAATGTTGTCCCGATGGTATGAAACCCCAAATTTACACATCGTTGTGTTGTATTGAGGTGACACACATTCTAGACGACGAGCGTGGGGTAGTGCACCATTGGGGATTATGACTTAGTCCGATCCGGATGACCGTTTTACTGCGTATTTGATTGAAAACTATTTGTTATCATCATGTTTTGGGCTGAATGCCATATTTGGGCCTCGTGCCAACTATTTGAACCCTTAGGGAATTTTTACTGATATTTCCTCACTGTACTGTTTTGACTTTATACTTGAACTCAATCATGCTATATTCTACTATTTTCATAACTCAGCCATGTTTACTCTGTTTAATACATTAAATGATAATTTGGGTTGAGCATTATGTTTTACTATTGCTCGAGTGGCTTATGAGATTCTGACTGAGTAAGGCCGAGGGCCTGTGTTGTGAGGATACACTGATTATGAATATGAGGCCGAGGGCCTGAGATTGTACGCCACGAGGTGGCTTGTTGATTATGAGGCCGAGGGCCTGAGATTGTACACCACGAGATGGCTTGATATTGCGCTTGGGCCGTAAGCTGACCCTCTAGGAGTCTGCACACCCCCAGTGAGTGCGGGTACCCATTGTGATATGAGATATAGCCCGAGGGGCTAGTATTGTTCCATGTGTTGCCCGATGGGCTGATTTTGTTGGTATTGTGCCCGAGGGGCGGTTTTTTATGTGTTTATCTTTTCTAGTTGCCTGTCATTTACTTTCTTAACTATTAAAAATGCATTCTAAACAAGCTTAAACTGAACTAAAGTGATTTTACATATTTTCACTGTTTCATTGCTCTTACTGGCTTTTACTGCTTCTTTATAGCCTGTTGATGTGCTTTGCGTGATTTCTTATTGCTCGGTCTGCATTTATTATTATTACTCACTGAGTTGGAGTACTCACTTTACTCCCTGCACCACGTGTGCAGATTCAGGCGCTTCAGGTCTTGCTTGCGAGGGTTGAGAGCTTCCGATAGACTTCAGAGATTCACTAGGTAGCTGTCCGGCGTTCGCAGCCCAGTGCTTCTCCCTCTATCTTATTTTCTCCTATTTTAGTTATGTAGTAGTGTAGACTCTTTCAGACTTGTAGTTTTTGTGATAGATGTTCATGATTGGTAACACCCCGATGTCGGGCTATGTCTATTCCGCGACTGTACTGTTTCACCTTATTTTGGGTTTATTATTATATTAAAGACTTAATTTGTATTATTATAACTGCTTAAAATGAGTTTGGGAGTGTGTCGGCTGGCCTTGTCTTCACGAGAGGCGCCATCACGACCAGGTCTGAAAATCCTGATATTGATACTTGCATTTATGATCTACACAAACATTTACACGCTTTATATAATTATTATGCTAACATAGTTGATGATTTTCTGTTATAGATGCAAATGCAAATATTCGTTTAAGTCCAGTTTCTATATCTGCATCTGGTGTTATGGAGGATAATGATGGTGTTAAAAATTATTTAATTTGGTCTACATTAGCAGAGCATCAACAACCTAGTAGGAGGAATATTGATGAATTTCAATTATATTTGCAAAAGGTAACAGAGCCCCGCACAAAGAAATTTCTACCGCTAGCTTGGTGAAGGACCAACTCAAATCAATTTCATATTATTTCGGCCATGGCTCTAGATGTGATATCAAACATCAACTAAATTTTGGAACTATAAGATAAAAGGATGACCCACTTTTGTAATGAAATACTTAACTGGTATGATTTGAGATGCTCGAGAATCTCATATGGCATGGAATCCACCTCGCCATCATTTTCAACAACCATAGATAAAAGCAAACATAATTGAACTTTTCTTGTAAAATGAAAAAAAAAGACTCTACCGTCACCATAATATATTCATCGTCTTTAGACCAATAGGAGAATCCATCTACACTGGTATGAACACGTAATTTTTGCTTGACGTACTGCTCCTAAAAAAGTCAAAAATAGTTTAATTACTTTTGTAGAATTTTAGAATTTTTTATTTTTATTTGTTTGGCGTTTATTTGTACTTTTAGCATATTTTAGTAGCATTTCAAATCACGAAAAAAGATAAAAAAAAATATTTTCTCTTTTGCTTTTTGCATTCTTAGATTTTTACTTGCATTATTAATATTTAGGGGTCGTTTGGTAGGGTGTATAAGAATAATGCTAAATAAGGTGTATTTAGTAATGCATGGGTTAGTAATGCAAGCATAAGTTATACAAAGATTATTTCTTATGCATTGTTTGGTGTGGTGTATTAAAAATTAAAATTCGTTGCATACTTTTTAAGAAATTAATTATTTACAAAAATGCCCTCTATATTCTTTAACTTTAAGGGACTTTAAGGATAATTTTATCTTTAACCATGCTAATGCATGCATTAATAGCCTTTGTATTGCTAATGCCATAGTTTTCTATGCATTAGCTATACATAGGATAATACCAAATAAGGTGTATAACTAATGCTTGTATTAGTTATACATAAGTTGAAAAAGTATACCAAACAAGGTATTACTAGTACACAAAGTTAATGTATGCATTATTTTCTCTAACACACTCTACCAAACGACCTCTTAGATTGCATGATTAATTGCATTATTAAATACAAAAATACATTAGTTTGTTTTACATTTTAGTTTTAATTAATGAGTTAATTAAGTAATAATTGATTAAGTAGGAAAATAGATAATTAGGTTAATTTTGCAAAGTTAGTTTTAATTAGAATTAGATTGGTGAATTTAGAAAATATTAAGACAAGAAAAAGAAAGGCTGTTAGTTGGGTCTTATATTGAAATTGGGCCGAAGCAATTTTGAGTAGCCCATTTGTGTTTAAAAATAGCACGGACTAGTCAACTTTCGAATTGGTCACTCAAAAATAGCCATCGTTTGCAAAGTCATGAAAAATAGCCACTATTTTGCTGCAACACGGAAAGTTCCAGCATAATATACTGGAGATCGGTGCACTTGTGTATGAACTTCCAGCATATTATGCTGGAACTCCAACACGCGAAAAGTTCCAGTATAATATGCTCCAATCTCCAATATATTATGCTGGACCGGTGGTGCTCCAATCTCCAGTATATTATGCTGGACCGGTATATTATGCTGGACTATTTTTTCGAATTTTGAATAGCGTTTTCGTTCAGGTTTATCTTTACATAAAAAGTGACTAATTTCGATTACTTTTAAAACTATGACTATTTTTGAATGACCAATTGTAAACCTGGCTATTTTTGAATTTCTCCCCATTTGTGTCGCACCGGCCCAAATATTTTAGCCCAGACCGTTAATTCCTAACCCTAACAGACACTCAGTGTAATAAAAAGACGGAAGATAGAGAGCCAGCACGCTTTTGATGGACACACACGAAATTTGGAAGCTCTCTCGGCATTCTCATTGATTCTTAGGGCAGAAGCTTCATTCTCTTAACAGACTCTCAATTCACCCACACAAAAACGGCTGAAATTAAAAAAAAAAATCCTCCTCTGAAATCTAAAAAAAAAAAAAGGAAGAAAACTAAAATAGCAGAGACCTGGAGAAATTTTCATTGAAGAAAGGAAAGCAAATTTGTGTTTGAATCTCGCTTGGAAGTGAAGTGTTTTATCTTCAATTTCTGGGCTTTCTAAGAGCTGTTTGGAGCTGAAATTAGCTGTCACTGCACTCCAACTATAGCTTTGAAAATTTGTTGCAATGGACGAAGCTGCAACAATAACTTGCCGACAAAGCAAATAAAAGTAGAAAGAAGAAATCACTTCATATTGTCCTTATGCAAAACTATTTAAAAGATTTCAAATTTTTGGTATGATCCTGAACTTAATTCAAACTTTTGGTAGGAACTTGAACTACTTTTAGGCATCGACGATGGATATATGTATAAATTTCAAAATAGAATTCATTTACCATTGTTGGTAGTAGGGACAATTACTGTGCTATCACTAGACAAGAGATAAAAGAAATTTGATAAAAACCAAGAGAAGGAAACAAACCTGATAATGCTATTGCGAATTGCTGATAATTGAATTCTGCCTTCATCAATTACATGATAATTCCGAATTCTTATTTAGAATACAAAGTTTTCTATTATTCTAATAAACTCATATCTAGAACGAGTATGATTAGGAATTCATATTGAGCACTTAATAATTTTACATTTTGTTATATATATATATATATATACTAGTTTCTACAAATGTGCGTTGCACGTTAATACCATGTTAATTATTGCAAACTTATACAGAAGAATAATGATTGTTGTAAAACTTAAATGGGCGTTATTATTTTAATAATTTTTTGAATCAAAAGACATGTTGCAAAGCATTAGAAAGAATAGTTAGGTAGTAACCTAAAGAAAATTTGCATATTAACCAACCACTAAATTATAAAAGTTTTTGTTCTTAAAATCGTTGCAAAATTCCAAATTTTTAGATACTTCTCCATAATTTTAAAACAAAAACACAAACAAAAAATATTGTTAGAAGAATTACCAATAAAAAATTACAAACATATTTCGAGCATTGTGGGATTTACCAATAATTATCTTCTATGAGACACTTTTTAGTAGGTCCTAGGCCTTAGTAATTAAATAAAAAAGGATTCTTCCTTCCTAATACTTCAAAAAGGATTCCATCAATAATCCACATATCAAAGGAACACGTATGCGTTTGTTTCATCTATATACACGTACACGTATACGCTACTTCTATTCAAATTGAAACATATTATGATGGTGTTTGGCTAAGCTTATAAGCTGGTCAAACTGGCTTATAAGCACTTTTTGGCTTATCTACGCGTTTGGTAAAATTAAAAGTGCTCATAAGTTAAGTGCTTATAAGCCAAAATAAGCCAAAAGCCATAAGTTGGTCTCCCCCAACTTATCAAATTTCAGCTTATAAGCACTTTACGTTTGACCAAAATATTTACTATTCTATCCCTAAAATACTTCTTTTTAAAACAAAACTCTTCGTATATCCAGTTCTTCAGCTGCTTATTATTAATTTTAGCACTTTTATCCAAACACGTAACTGCTTATTTTTTAAATCAGCTTCAGCACTTAAAAGTGCTTTTCAGCACCTAATGCTTATCAGCTACTCTAAATCAGCTAAGCCAAACGGGCTCTTAGTAAAGAGTTTTCTTTGCAAACACAAAACATATGTAAAATGTGAAAGAGTCGTTCAACATTTCATATTGGTTTTTATTTTATTTTATAGTTCTATAGATTAATATATAGATTATGTATAAGCACCAAAATGCAGAATTTTTAAGTTTTAATTTGCATAATTAATTCACGGTAGCCCAGAACTCTCAGATGGATCCATTGATTCTTGCCTTCCTTCCCTTTACATGAAAATTATCAAAAGGAGACGTGCTTATATTGAGGAGAAGTCCTAGAGTACTCACTTGGAAAACTATTCTTCCAAAGTATTAATTAGAATTAACTAACTTGATGATTAATTTTAGTTAATCTTAAAGTCCTAAAATGTTAGGTAAAAATAAGATTCATAATGCTACGATTTTATCTATTATGGGTTTAGCGATAAGAAACTATCAATTTTTTTAATTGAATGCATGCATAATTCTATAAAAATGTTATACCGGTATCTCTAAGTTCTTTTTTTTTTTTTTTTTGGTCCTAAACTTTGTGGGTGAACATTTATCCAATAACTATAATTTTTAACCAACTTGTCTATGATCAAAATCACATAGAGTTCCTAATGAGTAATATTAATCAACTATGGCGTAAAGAAGTAGGAGCTCAAGTAAGAGGAACAAACGAATTGCACTCATATTTCTTTTGTAATCCTAAACATGTTGTTGCATATTAATGTCGGTGATTTAATTGATCCAACAAGAAACTAAATTTATATTTCAAAACATATTTTTGTCCAATTCTAATTAAAGAAAACATGAACTAACTAATGTACGCAATCTCAAAAAGTGCCATCGAATGGTTGGCAATTAAGAAATCTGCCAGTTTATTACAACCACATATCCTCAAATAAAAGCAACACATGAATATAAATTACCTATATTCCATATTATTAGTGGTAACGATTTTAAAGTATGTAATCTAGTTTTAGTAACAATAGGTCTTCAGATAGTCGATCCCTATCAATTAGTAATTTAGTACCATAGTGGGATATTAGAAAAGAGGTCCGAGGAAGGATGATATATGGGAACAGTTTCAGCCACAAGTGTTTCATCATTTTAAATTAGCGTGAAAATCAGATTGAACGTCAACTCTCTTCCTCTCTGCTATTTATTTTTAATTCACCAAACATCTATTGTTTACTAAATATGATGGTAAATTCTAAGAAACTTTCACTACGATAGAATAGAAAAGAAACATCAGAAATTTTACATGCACCTTTTACCAAACCTTGAGTATTATTCGACTTTTTTAGTCACCTGACAGCAGAGTCATCATTGACAATTTTGCGAATAAGAAAATAAAAATATCAAGAAGGAAAGACATACTTTATTACATAAATTACCTGTAGAAGAATGATATTTCATATATATGTGCGAGGCAACATAATCCTATATATAATGTGTAGTATTATGTCCTAAAACTAATAGGATTACAAGGCTAATGTCTAGAATTCCGATTATGTCCTTTTATTGTGAGTTATTATGCTTAATATTAAAAGGTTATTTTTGTAAACCAACATTTTATTCATGCTTTTATAATAATATATATATATATATATATATATATATATNTATATATATATATATATATATATATATATATATATATATATATATATATATTTCACTGTTACTCAATAGATTTGCAATTAACACAATTTAAAAATTGAGTCTTTTAATCATTAATGATTTGAAAATGAAGACTTTCGTCCTATAACTCAAAAAATAAATTAGTTACAATGTAGATGTTCTAAGATAAAGTGTATTCTTGATTTTTCCTTTAGATCAAATTCTTGACACTCCTAAGTCACTGTAATGTGCGCATTACAACCCGTAAATATTTGCTCGAAAGTTATTCAAAGCTTATAAGAAACCTCACTTCATTGCTCCTTTAAACAGTAACAAGCTCCGAACGCCAGACCTCTTTTTATGAACAGAGCCACCGGCGGTACCTGTATTGCAGCAAAGGCAACACTTTTAGAAGTTATACAACGGCAAGAATGAAGAATAAGGATGAAGCTATACTTGCAAATACAAAGAGTGTAACTCCACAAATCATACACATACCTGAAAAGCCACCCTTTTTGCCTCTAGGGGTGTGTATTTGATTTATCGATTTGATTTTGACCCTTATCGATAATTACTTATCGATTATCGATTTGTACATATGCTTATCGTTATCGTTTCAATAAGGTTTCGATTTTTTCGATTTCGATTTATCGATTTTGGGGGCTTATCGATTCGGTTATCGATTACACCAATAAGAAAATTTGCGGGATTCCACGGAAAGTATATCGCTATAAACGCGCCTAACTAATATGGACAAAAAGAAGCTAAAATAAGACGAACACCATTTATAATATAAAAATTGTGTCAACAAGCACATGCAACAAAACTAAAGTAAGGGATCAAATGTATGCCACCAACACTCCAACGGTATAAAAAACAAAACAAAACAAAACACATCATCACGGCTAATTCTGTTTTCCATTAATTTGAACTTCATTCCTTGATCTTTAAATATGATCATTCCTTAAATGTGGTAGAGGAAATAATAGGGTAAGGGACTTAGGGTAAAGGAAAGGGTATACATTAGGGAAAATAATATTGTATAGCCGCTTTCAAAATAGTAGCGGAATATATATACATTCTGTATGTTATATTAATCTACACAAATAGGTAATTACTCATTTAACAAGTGTCTACAGTCTAGGGGTGTGCATTCAATTTATCGATTCGCTTTTGACCCTTATCGATAATTACTTATCGATTATCGATTTGTACATATGCTTATCGTTATCGTTTCAATAAGGTTTCGATTTTTTCGATTTCGATAACAAATAATCGATTCGATTTATCGATAAACCGATTCGAATGCACACCCCTATTTGCCTCACCTCCAACCCACTGGTTTTTTCACATTCTTCGATTTCTTTTTTTTTTTTTTTTCTTATAGCAAATTGTAATGCTCCCATTTTCTTAATGCTTTAATTTTAATCCCTCTTTTTTTCTTCTTAAAGTAGAAGTTTATGCTGCTGTGATTGAACCTAAAGATGCCAATACTCTAGTCAGGTTTGAATTTCATGTCCTCCCTTTTATTTGGTTAATTGATTTTTAGAGTCCTCAGAGAAAGCTTGCATTTTACTTTAATCAGGAAGTTTAATCAAATTGCACCATTGGAAAATTTACGGCATGTGAAGCGCGTGCAAAAGAAGTGCATTGATGGAGGTAATTTACTATCTCATCCTGAGCTTACTTACTGTTTATAGGCTGCTTATCGCTAAAACTCTCCTCTATTATGCATCTTATGTATTGTATTGTACCGTTCCCATGGTTGAATTTATCAAACTTATATCCTTTCCGACAATTAGCTAAATGAGAGATATGTATTAGAGAAGTCCATTAAAGATATTATGCCTATATTGCTTGCTAATGGGTTTGCATTGTTATTATTGAAAGAAGCGTAATAAACTTTTGTATCTGTGTTTGGTTTTTCAAATACTAAATTTTTATGCCAGTATAGATGGCTTCTCCTGTTAGCCTAAAGACGGTGAATATATTGTGGTGACGTTAGTGTCTTTTTGTTTTTCATTTTACAGGAAAACTTCAATTATGTTTGCTTTTATATATGGCTGTTGAAAATGATGGCAAGGTGGATGCCATGCCATATGAGATTCTCGAGCTTGTCAAATCATACCAGTTGAGTACTTTCATTGCAAAAGTAGGTCATCCTTTTATCTTATAGTTCCAAAATTTAGTTGATGATTGATATAAGTAGTTACGTAACACCTTTGTCCTCTGTCGACCTGAACAATGATTACATGATACTCGAGCGATGACGAGAAAGCCTAGATATTACGTAGTTAGACTGCATTTCTCTAGTGAAACCAATGTGCTTAAGTGAACTAAAAACGTAGTCATTCTTATATTCCTGTGGCATGTCAAATTTGCTAGTTTGCCTCTGTAATTCTAGAAAAAGATGAATATTTAGCGCTAGCTCCGTTTCTGTATGTGACCCACTTTAATCTTCAAGTTCCAATATGTTCATGTTTTTTTGATATCTGACTTCCTAATTGAAAATGAACCCATGTGTTTGTGATTTAACACGATATAATCGTTTTACGGAAGTAAGATATAGAGATTCACATAACTAGGAAATTAAAATGCGGGAGATTGATGAAAGTTAAAAATTGTTTCCAAATATTGGCAAATTCTTAGAAATTGTGGTAAAATAGGCAATCTTTGTCTAGAAAGCAAGTGGCGTGGCATAGAATGAGGACAATGTGGAATTGAGTCATCAAGCTCCATTAGTCTAATGTTTTCAAACAGGTAGTTGTTCTGAAGTTCTCTTTCAATCTGTTTTTCAAGTTCTTGAAATTTCTAATATCAATATTGGTATGGATTAGTCATGTGGAAATTTAGTTTCCTGTAAACAGGAAGACTTCATTTTTTACTGATGGATAAATTTATCTGATATTTTGCAAAACTCTTCAAGATGTTGCTTTATTCATATCTTTTGTAGTGACGAGAGTGGGTCTAAAGTGTTCATAGTTACAACAAAGGTAAGAAATACTCTAGATTCTTCGCTTATATAATGTGTAAGCTCTACTTTTATGTTGGTGTTTTCGTTGTTCCAATTTATTTATTGCTTGTTATCATTTATCTTAAATGTATTATGTTCCTTTAGCTGCAAAAACTCTATATTTCTGCAATTAAATCAGCTTTTTGCAGGTATGCAAATATGCTGCAACATCAAAAGAAGAATGGGATGAACAGTGCAAGCTCTGGCCTACTTCCTATCATCCGCCAACCTAGTAAGTGTGGAAAGAAAAAAGGGGAAAATTCTGCCCATGTGTGCATCTCCTAGGGCAGTAGGGCTAGCTTAATTTGCAACTGACCTGACCTGACCTGACGATTTTTCTTTTTCCCCCAATTACAGCAACATCGGTGGTATAACTGGATTTACTGAAGAGGAGTCACAATCAGTTTTCAGCTTCATGAGACATGCCATTGATTTGGCAACATCTTGTGTTGGTCAGGTAACTATTTACCATTTTCTCCAGTTGTCCGGGAAGTCTGTCTTATTATACTTGTTCCAACATTTTTCCTATACAAATGTTGGTGTCTATTTCTCGTATATCCAAGAAAAAGCCAAATAAATTCATGTTCCTTTTTTTTGGATTAAATCAGTGCCTTTAATCCCAATTAGTGTTTTCCAATTGATTAAAAGAAATCATATTTTAGAGCTATTTAGCAGCTATTACTTAATTAAAGCGATTATCTTCCTTATTAAAAAATGCAATCATCTTAATTTTACCAATAAAAAAGTGATTATATTAATCAAATTACTAATGATCACTTTTTTAGACAACCAGAAATAGTTTCAATAGTTCAAGGCAAATAGACCATGTGGTTTATATTTCTAATTTCCTTATGCATTCTTGATTCTACCGTTCTACCAGCTACTTCATTTAGAAAAAAATTACAAGCATAAATGAATTGAAGCAGTGGCAATGTTTATATCTTTTTTTTGATGAAATAAGAGAATTGCATTAAAGGCATCAAGAAGATGCAAGAAGTACAAAAGAGAGATACATAAAGACATAGTCAGCTCTACAGACAAAAACTAGGCTAAAGCTAAGGAGCTGACGAAGTCCAAAAGATTAATAGGACAATTTACCGGAGCTAAGTTCTGCCAACTATATAACCATAAAAGAAATCTAGCCTTAAGTGCGTATGTTGGAGTTGATATCCCATCAAAACATCTGCGATTCCTTTCTGTCCAAACACACCACAAAATACAAGAAGGGATCATCTGCCAGACTTTACTGATGGAGTTATCAACTTTCCATGAAGACCAGCTTTCATACGCATCCTTAATGTTCTGAGGCATGACCCAGCTTAAACCAAAGATGGCAAAGAACATGCACCAGATATCTGTTGCAACCGGGCAGTGAAGAAAGAGATGCCTGTTGGATTCTGGCTGCTGCAAACACATATAACATCTGTTGGCCAATTGAAAACTTCTTCTACTGAGATTGTCCTGGGTTAGGCATGCTTCATTTAGGGCTATCCAACTGAAACAGGAGATTTTTGTTGGTAGCTTGGTCTTCCAGATGTATTTCCAAGGCCATCTATCAATTATTTCGTTGGTGGAGCAAAAGTGAGTGTAGCCTGCTTTCACAGTGTAAAGACCATCCTTGGAACTTCCCCACCTTATGCTGTCAAAAGTATTTTCCTTGACTGAGAGGCCTTCCAATTTTGCCAGCAGACTTGGAAGTTGTGGAAGCTCCCAGTCCTGCATATCCCTCCTGAAAAGAATGTGCCAACAATTGTCTTGCCAATTTTGAAAAATCGTGGAATCTCGGTTCTGAGCTATCCGATAGAGGCTAGGGAACTCAAACATCAGGATGGATCCTTCAAACCATTTATCCTTCCAGAACTTTATGTGATTGCCATTGCCCAATCTAAAATAGAAGTTCAGGGAAAATTCACTCCAGAGCTTCCTAATGTTCTTCCATGGACCGACCCCATATGGACTTCTGGACAGCTTAGTACACCAATGATTCTCGGACCCATGCTTGGCCCTGACCACCTCTTTCCATAGTGAATTCTCCTCTTGATTGTATCTCCATAGCCATTTCATCAGCATGCATTTGTTGTGGATGGAAAGACCTCTGATGCCTAGGCCACCCAAGTACTTTGGCATGGTGACCTTTGACCACTTGGCTAGATGAAATTTATGAGCTTTGCTACCTCCTTCCCATAGAAATGTTCTCCTGATCTTGTCAAGCTGCTTTACAATTTTGTTGGGGATTGGTATGAGGGACATCAGGTATGTTGGGATGCTATCTAGCACACTGTTGATAAGTGTCTGCCTTCCCCCCATTGAAAGATACTGTCTTTGCCAAGAAGCTAGTTTCTTTTCAAATTTCTCAACTACTCCAGTCCACACCTCAGTTGAGTTATGTTTTGCTCCAAGAGGTAGACCAAGGTATGTAGTAGGTAGTGTAGCATTACCACAACATAGAATTCCAGCTAGTTCCTCCAAATTGTTGACTTCATTTACAGGGTAGATAGTGCTTTTTGCCATGTTAATGTGCAAACCTGAAATAGCTTCAAATAGATTCAAAGTTAGGTTAAGGTATAGAACTTGGGATCTTTCAGCCCCACATAAGATCAGAGTATCATCTGCATAAAGCAAATGAGATACTGAGAGAGATGATCCAGAGTTAAGCCCCACTTGAAAGCCACTGATCCATTGGAGCTGCTTTGCTTTGTCCAACATCTTGCTAAGGCCCTCCATGGCCAGAATAAAAAGGAAAGGAGAGAGAGGGTCCCCCTGTCTAAGTCCCTTCTGAGGTGAAAAGAATCCCACTGGCCCTCTATTGACAAGTATTGAGAATTTTACTGTGGTAATGCAAAACTTCATCCATTTAATCCACCTGTCACCAAAACCCATCTTCCTAAGCACATTTAGAAGATATGCCCAATTCACCTTATCAAAGGCCTTTTCTACATCTAGCTTGCATAAAATACCAGGATTTCCATTCTTCAATTGCCAGTCTAATACCTCATTTGCAATGAGGACTGCATCAGTGATTTGTCTGCCTTTTATAAAGGCATTTTGATGACCGGAAACCAGACCACCGACCACTTTCTTGAGCCTTTCTGCAAGTAGTTTAGCTGCTATTTTGTAAACACTACAAATCAGACTGATTGGTCGATAGTCCTTTAGTTCAATGGCTCCCTTCTTTTTGGGAACTAAGGCTATAAAAGAGGCATTGCAAGACTTCACCATGTGACAGTTATGATGAAAGAAATTCAGGGCAGCCATCACCTCTTCCTTAATAATCAACCATGCTTTTTGAAAAAATGCCATTGTGTAACCATCTGGCCCTGGAGCCTTATCTGGAGAGCATGCTTTAATGGTGGAAAGGACCTCCTCCTCCTCAAAAGGAATTTCCAACCATGCTTTGTCTCCTTCTGATATTCTTTCCAGATCATCAAGACTAGCTGTGGGTCTCCATTGTTCAGACTCAGTGTATAATTGTTGGTAAAAATCCAGAATTTCTCCTTTTATCTGCTCCTTATCTTCAATAATCTCGGAATCAACCATAAGTCTGTCAATGCAATTATTTCTTCTATGGGAGTTTGCAATTCGTTGAAAGTATTTGGTGTTCCTATCTCCTTCTTTGAGCCATAGGCACCTGGACTTCTGTCTCCATGAAATCTACTCAGCTTTTGCTATCTGCTCCAATTCTAATTTTAAAGCAAACATTTTGCTTTTTTCCTGTACAGTTTGAACCCTATTCTCCGTGACCTGTTCCAACACTAAAAGTTCATCTAAAACTTTGCTCTTTCTTGACTCAACCTTGCCAAAGACTTCCTTATTCCAGTAGGAAATGTCTTTCTTCAATAGTCTCAATTTCTGGATTAGAATATAGTCTGGACTCCCTTGTATGGTATAGCTATTCCACCATTCTTCAATATTCTCCATGAACCCATCAACTTTTAACCACATGTTCTCAAATTTGAAGTAAGATGGATTCACCTCCCAGTCCCCACTCTCCAGAAGTAAAGGTTTATGATCAGAAAAAACCCTTGGAAGGGCAATCTGTTTCACATCCTTAAAGCATTCATTCCACTCTGGGGATATAAGAAATCTATCTATTCTAGATGCCTGATAAAAGTGTTCTCCCCTAGACCATGTGTAGAAGGCACCTTGGAGAGGTAAATCAATAATTCCCAGGTCTTGAATTACATCAGAGAAACCCCTCATTGCTCTGGATCTTCTAATGCAGTTGTGTCTTTCATTCTCATATCTGCAAACATTAAAATCTCCCCCTATCACCCAATTCTCATTCCAGATACCCCTGACTGCAGCCAATTCATTCCACATGTCCTCTCTTTCCTCATTGGTGTGAGGACCATAAATCCCCGTAAAGCACCATCTGAACTCTTCTTGTGTGCTCTCTAATATGCTTGAAATAGAAAAAGTCCCTTGGTGTACCTCCAAACAATTCCAGTGTCTTCTATCCCATAGGATAATGATGCCCCCCCTGGTACCACATGACTTAAGCTCTGCCCAATCAACCCACTTATTACCCCAAATCTGTCTGGAGAGATTAACAGACCAATCCTCTATTTTTGTTTCTTGCACACAAAGAATATCGATCTTCCACTTGCGAACCAATGAGCTAAGAGTACCCCTTTTACTGTTATCATTCAACCCATTCACATTCTAGCTTAAAATTTTGAGCTTCATTCAGAAAAAGCCTTGTAGTGCCTCCCCCCATCTCTTTTGTTCACCCTTTCATAATTGATCCCACATTTCAACTTTTTAATTTCGGCTTCCCCCTTCTTCTTACTAGGTTTTTTATCGGAACTTGATAAGTTTTTGTGTTTTAGCTGAATCTGCCTTCTTTCCTCCATTCTTAAGATGATGTCAAACAGCTCGTGTTCAAATCCTGCAACATTCACCCCAAAAGCCTTGCATGCCTTCACCATTACCAGCTTTGTCCATCTTGATGTATCTATCACTGCCGGTTCGAGAATCGTTGTTGAACTCGACCCCTTCTCATGCCATGGGAGCAGTAGAGGAAGTGAAGAAGAGGAGAAATCAGATTCATAATCATGTACCTGTAGTGGTTGTGACATGCGATTTGGTTGGTGAAGCATGATTCTGAAATTTGTTGGAGGGTCTACCTCGTCGTCAGCGTCTGAGCTCAAATTGGGGTCTCCTATAGCAGTTTGAAGAGCAGCGGGGATAAGAAAGCTACGGGGATGTTCTGGAATAATCTCTGAGTTTAATATCCATTGGGCTTGCAAAAAACCCTTTTGCTTTCCAATAAGTTTTGGGCTGACTCCTCATTAAATGCCCTTTCTTCTTATTTGGGCCTCTTTCATCATAATATCTTTCTGTCTGCTGGCCCAAAAATTTTAAAGGGCCCCCAAATTTTTTACCCTGTTTTACAGCCCCTTTATTTGAAATTAAAGTAGCCACGTGACCTCCCACATGCTGGTTACAGGATGGGATTGGAGTAGGTTTTTGTTGGCTCGAGGGCCCTGACCCATCAGTCATCTCAACAACGTCTTTTCCCTTTGCCGCCGAAATAGAATTTTCACCGGAGCCGGAGTTCAAAATATTGCCAGATTTCTTCAGTTTGACATGAACATCTGGTATTATCGAAATTTCATAGGTCCATTCACCCACCGGTAATTCTAGTATACGAGGAAGATCGTTGGCAGTGTTTTTGACACATATTCGGGCCCAGAGCAGATGACTTCTTCCCTTTGTATCTTCATCAATGGCTATAAATCCACCACAAAGGTCGCCGATGATGGTGAAAAAATCTTGAGACCATGCGTGAAGTGGAATCCCAAAAGCTTTTACCCAAGTATGCTCTTCTTTTCTGATAGCCACGTCCAAACCCGACAGTGGAGACCACCAATCGAGAGAGAGGTGTCTACCGTTCCAGAACCAGTCGCCGGCTTTAATGCGAAGCGCCTCTTGCTTCGAGGGAAAATCAAATAGGAACATATTGTGATTTATCTGGGTAACTTTGAGACCTGCCGTGACTTTCCACCTGTTTATAAACCACTTCTGAATCACTTCAGGATTGGCGCTTATATTAAAGCTATCATTGAAAACACCAACAAGACACTTTGAGAGGAATTGAGCATTAACACATTCTGATGAGGGACATGCTTCGATATTCTGTTGAGCTGCATTCTGAACTTCACCAGATGGCCATTGAATGATTTTTGCTGCTTGCATATAAGATTTTGCCTGCTGACATGCAAGATTGAACCTTGAATCTGAGAAATTTCCCAGAAAACGAAGTATTTTATTAGCAATATCACCCCATCCCTTATTTTAATCATTTTCAGGAATAATAATAGCGTCCCTTTTAACCCCGAGCCAGGCTTCAATCCTTAAAAATCTGCCATGAATGTTGTAGTTCTGGAACACTCTGTATGAGTATGCTTGAATTTTCCTCCCCCATTTTCTACAGAGATTCCCTTTCCCCTTAAGACGCCTGAATCATGGCATCGCAGACCCATTGCAGATTTTCCCCATCAATAGTAAGTCTACTAGTGAATCCCCTCCTGCGCTCCGTGAAAGAAAACCACCTATCATAACCTTTGCCAATGTCGATCAGTTCAAAAGATTTCTCGCTAGATATAAAGAAAAGATTACCAGCCATGTCAACAAAGTAAAGGAAAAATGATCGGAAAGATAATCATTTTGAAATCTGAAAATGAGAATGATGAATGCTTTGTTTGACAACTAGGAAAGTGAATAGAAGAACAAAGTCTTGAGTATCCCGAAAGGCTCCGAATGTTTAGGAACTAGAACACAATCTGGAACTAGGAAAGGGAAGAGAAAGTGAGAGATGATTATAAAGTTTTCTTTACCCTTGTTTGATTTAGCTGTAGAAAGAGGGACGGAAGAGGAGAGATCAAGTTTTTCTTTGCACCACTAGTTATCCTCTCTTTCTCTTTTTATTTTCCATCTTGCTGTTCTCCCTTCTCTTCTGCAAATTTTACATAGTTTTGTATACGTCGTACGAAGCTTTTCATGAAGATTTACTAATTACTCAATCATGTTTATATTTGTGATACTAGGCTTCAATAAGATGTATTTGGTCTGCTGGGCTAGAAGTTGTTCGCCTCTTGAGTTGCTTTTATATTATTGTGCTCCTAGTTAAATAACAGAAATAGACTTACTGAACTTGCTGTAGGAGGGATTTTGGCCTTGTGTAGAGTGTAGATGAAGGCATTACCCTACTTATCTTACATTCAATGCTTTTAGGTTTTGAATGTTTGAGAAGAAGTGTTTCATGTAACATGAATCCTTGCTCTCGTGCGCCTACGGTCATTTCCCTCTTTTGCTTGAGGGAGTTTCCCCGCTGAGGGGAAGTTATACCATCCCGTCAAACTTATGTTTGTGAGACTGCCTCAGGAGGATGATTTCGAACTGGCAGGGCTATTTAGGTAGTGCCATTTTTCAAGAGGCGTAAGACCCATGAGACGGAAGAATGACGGTTTGGCCAGTTGGATATGGGTAAATTAACTAGAGGATATGGTAAACATATGGCTTTCTTAGGAGGAAGGTATGATGAGTGCCGAAGTAAAGTAGATCGTGCACTAGTCCGAGAGAAATCAGGTGCTTCAAGGACAGGAAATGCATAAGGTTGGGTCCAAGTTACTCTTAGATACACCCGATTTGCAAATTAAGACAGTTGTCTAAAGTTGGTCGATGAATCAATATTGCAAATGAAGTGTTTGTTATTCAGAGAATGCATGCCCTTATCTAACACAAGCTAAAAGAAAATCTTTTCATATACTTTGGGAGAAATGTGAAAGTTCTAGTTTTTCTTGACATAAGCATGCATCTATCCTTAAGGTTATAAAAAAAGCATGCAGTTATCCTTCCAAGTTTCGATGTACTGTATGACTTTGCAGGTGATAGTTATTAATATGTGGTTAACCTTTCTACCTCTGTAATATTTTAGTTTTCACCCAGCCTTAGGCTGATGGTTTCTAATTGTATGGATGATGTCTGATTGTGGCAGTGTATGTTTTTGCCATTTTTCTATTATTCGGTCCCTAATAACTGTGAAGACTATGTTTATATTGTTTCCAGTCATTTAGAAAGGAAGTATGCTCTTGTAAACATGTCTCATATGTGCAGTATTTACTTTTCCTTGAACTTTCTCTGCAGGTGGTCAATGCTGCTGTTATTGTAGATCCTTCAACTAAGCAGGTGATTGCAAGTGCTTGTGACCGGGTAATATTCTCAGCAAGTCCTGCAAATGAGGTCAGCAAGGAAAGTAGCTGCTCTGACTATCCCGAAGACCTCGATTCCTCTAACTTGGAAAACCAACAAACATCACTTTTGGACAGCTCAATTGGTGAATTTGAACGTTTAATTAGTAATGTTGCTTGTCTACAACCTTGGCGATGGGCTGTGCAATCGTTAAGTCCAAACTCTGGTTGCTGGCATCCTTTGCGTCATGCCGCTATTGTAGCTATCGAGCATTCTTCTACCAGGGATAGACAAATCTTTCCTGATTACAAACTTAATGGGGAGGACTCTATCAAGGAGGATTGCACACTATCTCCTTCGGAAAAACAGAAAGTAAGTCCAACATATTTAAGCGACATGCTGTCCTTAGTCTTTGTTATATCACTTTGTTATGATCTTCAATTGATTCCAGCTCTGTTTGCTAAATTCTCCCTTCCTTCTACAGGAAGAAATACTGCTCTTGCGGCGCTTAGGGCCCTGCTAACAGTTTTTGTCGACTGTTGTTTCTTGAGAATTTTACAACTCAAATAATTTCAAGAGTGATGATATCAAATATTTTTTCCAAGTGATGATATTGCTCACGTTATATTTACTTTTGACACTATCATGACGCGATAGAAATGAAATGAACTTGATTTTTCAAAAAGAAAAAAAGCTTTTATCATATTGTCTCTTTAGCTATTATGCTAGAAAAATGATTTCTATTCATCCTTTGTCACCAATAATTTCCTTTTTTTCATTTCGAAAACATATAATTTTCTCTCTCTTGAATCACACATGTCAACTTTTTGATGAACAATATATCATAATATGCCTTTTCAGATCACAGACTCGGACTTCCAAAGTAATGACCATAGTTCTCAATCAGTCAGACCTTATCTATGCACTGGATGTGACATTTACCTGGCTTGGGAGCCATGTGCAATGTAAGTTCATATGATTTAACTGCTGTTTTACTAGTTTTTTTTCTTGCCTAGCTTCAATTGGGTAGTTCCACCCATCAAAGGTCTGTGCTTGTTGAATTCTTCGGTGAACTGTTGGTTGGTGATAGCTTTGGTTAAATTCTTTATTGAGATAGTATGCCAGTCATTCCAAAAGATTATAGAGGTGCCAGACAGAGAATTAAGGACAAACACGTGGCTCACTCAGGTAGGGGGGGGGGGGAGGTAGGGGGTGGGCAGAAAATCTGAACCGAACCGATTTATTTGGTATAACGGTACGGTCCTCGGTATTAAGATTTCGATAATTTCGGTATATACCGAAATACAAAATTATTTAAGTAGTTTATGTGCTTTCTACACTGCCCTGTCCTTAGCCCAGCCCAAAATTTTAATATTGTATTTCTAGCCCAATAAGACAACCCAATTCCCTTACTCTCTTAGCCCAATATCTTAGTCTCTTACTCCCCATTAGAAATTTAGAATTAGGTATTTCAAAGAAAGAAGCAAAGAACAAAGTCACAGCGACTTCACGACCTCGGTGCCGACGACTCTCAAGTGTGACTGCTTGTTTCCTCATTTTTGACCTTCATTCTTCAATCGTCAACTCTTTAACTTGTTCACAACTTCTTCATTCTTTAATATTCAATTTTGTATTTTGTAACCAATAGCTTCTTTTTGGGTACTGTAAAGTATAAACCCAATACTTTAGTTAAAAAAATAAAATATAAAAAATGCTGATGCGATCTGCAAAAATAATAATGAAAAAAAGTCTTTTCTTACCAATCCGTTAATCTGCTGCTGTTGGGTTAAGAAAAAAAGTCTTTCTTAAAATGAAAATGCTGATGCAATCTGCAAAAATACAAGTACATATTTGTAGATATTTAACTGATATCAACTTCACTATCCTGTTGTCTTGCTGTATTAGGTGTGCAATGGCTCTTGTCCATCAAAGAGTTAGACGGATATCTTTTTCCTTCCTAAATTCCAATGCTGGTGCACTAGGAAGTGTTCACAGATTGCAAGGGGATAGGAGCTTGAATCACCATTATGCTGTTTTCAGGGTTGTTTTATCTGAGGAGTTGTTCAAGAATAAAGTCGTAAATGCAAAAACTGCTGGGTGTGGTTGAAGCAAACACTAATCAGCTTTTGAAGAGGTTAGGTCTTTGAGACTTAGTTAAGTCGGATAATAGTTAATGTGGATACTTCTCCTTGGTACATGTACATTTGGTCTTCTTTTTGACGTATCTACATTATATTAAAAGTAGGAAGGCCTTAATTGAAAAGTTGAATTACATAATTGTCCTTCTAATTAATTTAAATATTCTACTTAAAAAAATTATTAAATAAAATAACTAAATTCATTTGAAGAGGTGCAACCTTTTATAGTATAAGTATTAGTTACTAATGTTCAAATGTTGCTGCTTTTACCCCTAAAGTGAAAAGTCAAATTACCCTTCTAAATAATTAAAACCCTACTTATCAAAAAATAAGAAATAAAAAAATCTAAACATGTACAAGAGCCCAACCAACGCTTCATGCTTCATGAATAGTCACAACTCACAACCATTAATTGTGAGGGAAAAAATACCTTCTCATGGCAGAGAAAAGCATATCATCTTGTCCCTGTTTTAATACGCATCCGCTCTTCTACAAACAACTTCTACAGTGACTCTGGCTCAATGTTTTTGAATTATTGTTATTTGAGTGAAGATCCAAAAATCAATTCATGTGTCATACCTTAACTTTGTATTTTTCTTGTGCAAATATTATATATCATATGGATTTGCTTGTAAGAGTTTTACTTGAAAGGTCGTGCAGTTGTTAGGATCAGTATAAACGTCTCCCAATTAGCCAGCCGTCATATCTCTCATTAACAGTCACAACCTTTGAGAGAAACGTAATTCCTGCAACCAATTCTAAATTAACCAGCACTTTTATAATTCAAAAAATTGATATGGTTATTAAAGTTGTGCCTTGAGTATTTATAAATGTATTCTTTTCATTCAATCCTCATATTATCTTTTCAACCATGCATGGCAATACAAGTGTCTAGACTTTTTCGTGCTTGTGTTCTCACATAATCTTTTTCTGGTTGTAGGTGTCAAGAGGCATCGCAATTATGATATTGTCAATATTTTGTCATGTGTTCGGGTAATTCATTTCCTCTAATACTCTGTATATGATCTAATGATAATGGCAGTTTGTTTTAGATTTTGTCAAGAAAAACTAAGAATCAGTAGAGGGTTTAGTTCAATTCCTTATATCGTCAACTAAGAATCAGTAGAGGGTTTAGTTCAATTCCTCATATCGTCGATTTGCTTGAGGTGGTTGATATCCATTCCGATATGAATATGTCCGGGAAAATTGATATGATTTGCTTATGTGGCTAGAAAAATGACAAAAGAAAAGTGAATGATCCCTCCACTTGTCATAATATTGAAAATGCATGTATACCATGCTTCTTTCTTCTTCCGCACTTCCACACCGAGTAATCGTGATCTGGAGAGGGAAGAGTTGAGTTCTAAAAGTTCAACTATAGATACTCTCCCATTAGGTTACTCAATTAGATACTTCATGCTCTCAGTAGTTGCATCTTCTTCTTGTCATGATATAATGACCAGCTTCTTCTACTAGGTCATAGCTTGTAACCATTTAGATCTTAAGCCAAAAGGGCCAGTTCTGGATCACAGAAAATTTCAGTTAAAGAGTTTTATGTTTAGTTCTTGTACTTCTATGAATAAATGAATTTTATCCCCGATTTTCTTTTCAACCAGTATCATTCATTGCTGTGTTGAACTTGAAAATTCCTTATTACTTATCAAAAATGTTTTAAATTTTTGTCCTTCGCCGTAAAGTTCATGTTTTCAAATGTCAATTCCATTGGTTTGTTGTTCTTCCCATTTTTTGAACAAGCCGGGATCGACACTCGATCACTAAACATGACCGAGCGAACCATCTCTGCTTATCAAATCTATTATAACTCGAAACTTTATATGCAACAAGGCAATACTCTAACCAAATACTTTTGTTTAATTTAAGCATTTAAATAAATCAAATCCAAAACTTTATTCATAGTAACCAATGAAATACTACTAAGTTATTATAAAAAAACATCTAAATCTTAACCCAACGACTATGTCTATGAAGCCTCTACTGATAAACTGACGCACTGCTCAGGACATGAGATTTCCTGGACAGTTATCTAAGTAAACAAAGAAATAACTAAATAAAGATGACGCTAAGGAATACTCCACGAACAAAAGCGGAGCTCACCAATAGCACTAGAAGAGAAGGAAGTCCTAACTCGTAGCCTGCTCGCCTGCAAGTCCGGTTCCTACGTTGTACCGCAGACCAACGTAGGTTCCCAAAAGAGAACGTCAGTACCATCCATTGTACTCAGTGAGTCTCAACAACAGGGGGCGAAACTTTAATAACATATACATTATGAGCAAAGGTTCTAAATGCATGTAAAACTTAAAGCTTATAACAACAATTCTAAATAATTGCATAATAGCAGTTTATGAATATTCTAAAAGAAATTCTTTTCTTTTTCTTTCTTATAAAAAAAATACTTCACTTTATGCTTTGGGAGTTCCAATTATCCTGACTTAATTCTGTCTCAGTCACCGTGTGATCGGCATGGGTTCGATCCCAACCTGATCGAATAGGCCCAATCCACGAGGTGCGACTCGCTTCATGGTTCTCAGCGCTCATGTATCATACCTTAGCATGGCTAAGTAAATTCTCAGCAACGAGACCCTCGGCTCGCGTGCTCCCTACTTTGGCACAAGTAGTTTCAGCAAGTCAACGCCTTGGTCAGGACCCTCGGCCTGGACGATGACCCCTTCTCAGAATAAAGGATACTCCCAAAAATCTTTTCTTTCTAAAACTTCTTCTTGTGACCTTTCTAGTCTAAATCTTTTCTTTATAGAACATCATGTACATGCTCATATTGGTGTCCTTAAATGTAAAGCATGGCACAAGAATGAAATAAACATATAAAAATATTTCTAAAGATTCTTTCTTCATAAATTTTCAACATGAAAATAGCATATAAGAATAACTCTAAAAATCTGAAATTTATGCACATATATCCAAATAATCATCTAAACTTTAGCTAGAAAATAATTCTAAGCTAATAGGTACTTACTACTCCAATTAAGTATATATTAACTCTTTTATGCAATTCATCAAGCACCTTGTGTGCGTGCTTTTGTGAGTTAAACCACTTTAGTAAAGGGTTATATCATCTCACCTCAAACTTCTCGAGCCAATACGTAGACTCCAGTCCAATTTATACCCGTCAAACAATTGATTCTACAACAACCAGTGCATTTTAATTAATTTTAAAGTACTACACCTAAATATAAAATTTATTGTTGATATGGAGGAAGAAGGGAATTAACTATTCCATTCTTACCTATTACCACTACAGGATAATCGACAATAGGGAAATTTACTTACCTGAGTTCAAGAATTAGTGATTGGTAAAGAACCCTAGAACTTTGGGTGCAATTTTGTGGCTGCCTTTGCGTTAGAAATAGAACGTGAAGTGTTCTGTCTTGAGAATCTCCTTTTTGTTTAAACCTTTTTCACAGCCCTTGTCTTTTGGCTAAGGCTTTCACGCCTTTACTGCCAAGAGCCCTTTATGGGCTTAAGGCTCAAGTTGTTTTTTTCACAATTTATTTGTTTTCCTTTTTTTTTTTGACTTAACTAGTATTTAATGATACCCACTTTTAATAATTAACAATACTAAAACTATTAATATTTTTTGTAATTGTATATCCAATTTTATATATATATATATATATATATATATATATATATATATATATATATATATATATATATATATATATATATATATATATATTTCACGATATGCGAGATAAACACAATAATAAAAAAAATAGTAATAATTTAGTTCTATAGTTAGCGTGTCTCGGAACTTTTATAAATTTGAGGAGTGTTACAATCTTCCCTCCTTGAAAACATTCGTCCTCGAATGTTGCTAGGGCCTTATCCGTAAGCTAACAATCATCCCTTAGGTCCTTGAACCTCTTAAGTTTTCCTAGCACTACTCATTCTTCCAAGGGACTCAAATTTTGGCTAACTCCCTAAATTTTCAAAAATTTCGGCAGAGCTTCCCTTGTAAATTGGACTATCCAAAAAAAAAAAATATCCCTGTCACAAATACCACAACTACACCAGCAACAACCAAGTATACTATAATAGGCCATTCATAGGCACCATACACAACTCATAAATTAACTACTCACACTCCGGCAAGGAGGTACCACAATAACTAACAAGAATCTAAAACACAACACTTTAGCAAAAGTAAATCACTTTAATGAATTAAATATACTCTGGCATAAACTAAATCACTAAAACAACTAAATATAATCTAGGAAGGACATAAACACTTGCTAACTTGTATTTAATAAATGAAATATAAATGTCAAGCCAAACCTAGGTTCACATACCTTGTTACTCAAATAAATAAAGATACTTCTTCCTCATATCTTCCTCGACCTCCCATGTAGCCTCTTTGGAATCATCGGTCTGTGGATGAAAAGCGGTGCTTAAATTGACCTTGGTACCTAATCTTTTCTGAAATGCCTGCCAAAAATGCGCCGTGAACTGAGGGCCTCTGTCAGATATGATTGAAACTGGAGTACCATGCAATCGGACTATTTCATTGATGTACAACTGCGCATACTGCTCTGCGGAATCTGTCGTCTTTACTGGTAGGAAATGCGCGGACTTTGTCAGTCGGTCTACAATAACCCAAATTGAATCATGCTTACGGAATGTGCGAGGTAGACCTACTGCGAAATCCATATTAATCATCTCCCACTTCCACTATGGTATCTCTATGTCTTGAGCCAGGCCACCAGGCCTCTGATGCTCGGCTTTGACTTGCTGGCAATTTAAACATTTAGCCACATGATCTGCTACTTGTTTCTTCATGCCTTTCCACCAATACAACTCTTTCAAATCTAGATACATTTTGGTAGCACCTGGGTGGATAGAGTACCTCGAACTGTGAGCTTCCTCCATTATGGCCTTCCTAAGACCATCTACATCAGGCACACATAACCGATCATTCAACTTCAAAACTCCGTCACTTCCTAGAGTGAAAGCAGTGATTTCTTTGCTTCTGACTCCTTTTAATTTCACTAAGTACGGATCTTCGTCTTGCTTAGCCTTAACATGCGCAACAAGGGAGGATTGCGCTATGGCATAAGCAGTTATATCTCCTTCTTCGGTCTCATCCAATCTAATTCCATCGTTTGCTAGTTTTTGAATTTCTCGACCCAAAGATCGCCTTTGTACTGCAAGATGGGCCAAGACACCCATTGACTTCCTACTAAGTGCATCTGCTACCACATTAGCTTTGCCCGGGTGATAAAGGATATTGATGTCATAATCTTTCAATAGCTCGAGCCACCTTCTCTGTCTCAAATTTAGTTCTTTTTGCTTGAAAATGTACTGGAGGCTTTTGTGATCTGTAAACACTTTAGAATGCTCACCATAAAGGTAGTGTCGCCATATTTTTAATGCAAACACCACTGCTGCAAGCTCCAAGTCGTGTGTGGGGTAGTTCTTTTCATGATTCTTTAACTGCCTGGAAACATAAGCAATAACTTTTCCATTTTGCATAAGAACACAACCAAGGCCCACTCTGGAGGCATCACAATACACTATGAACCCACCCGAACCTGTCGGCAAGGTTAACACAGGTGCAGTGGTCAACCTCTTCTTTAACTCTTGAAAACTCTGCTCACAAGCGTCTGACCATTGGAACTTAACTGCTTTCTGAGTCAACTTAGTTAATGGAGCTGCAAGTGAGGAAAACCCCTCCACAAACCTTCTATAGTAGCCAGCTAACCCCAAGAAACTCCTGATTTCGATTGGCGTTGTCGGCCTAGGCCAGTTCTTGACTGCTTCTGTCTTCTGAGGGTCTAATTTTATTCCTTCACTAGATACCACATGGCCTAAGAATGCCACTGACTGCAACCAGAACTCACATTTTGAAAACTTGGCATAAAGCTCATTCTCCTTCAAGGTCTGCAAGGCTATTCTGAGGTGTTTTGCATGATTTTCCTTGCTCTTAGAGTACACCAAAATATCGTCTATAAACACAATAATAAAGGTATCCAGGAATGGCTTGAAAACTCTGTTCATGAGGTCCATGAATGCAGCTGGAGCATTTGTCAACCTGTAGGACATTAGTAGAAATTCATAGTGCNACAACAACTTTTCTAACCGGAGTTCAAACCCCTATGTTCCTCCAAAGGGTCAATATTCGAACCAAGGGTCCTCTAGTGAATCGAAGTTGGAAGCTATGCTTGAGCGAGTGTTGCAAAATCAAGAAAAATCTGATGCTTCCATGAGGAACATGACCGAGGTTGTTGGATCTCATACCGCCTCCATCCAAAAATTGGAGATGCAAATGAGAGACCTCTCCAAAGAGCAAAATCCAAAACAAAAGGGAACACTCCCTAGTGACACGGTTGCAAATCCAAGAGGTAGTGGGAGTGGCCCAACTTCTCACATCATGGCGATCACTACTAGGAGTGGGAAAGTGCTACACGGAGAGGTTGAACAAACGGTTGAAGAAGAAGAGTCCGAACAAAGGGTTGAGGTTGAAGAGCCAAGTGTTGTCGAGGTTGAAAAGATTCCGGACGAGTTGAAAGTGCAAAAAGAGAACCGGGA